TCAGATTCCTCATTTCTAAAGTAGAAAGGTGAGGCTAGATGATATCTAAGGGCTCTTTAATCTCTAGAATTTTCTGATTCCACGCCTGGCATTCTGTGGAGCTCTCCAAGGACGGGGCTATCTATTCCCTGGATTTGGGGCCAGGAGGTCTTTTAAATCTGATCTGGGGAAACACTGGGCAGATTCTTTCCTCTGTGTTACAGTTGTTTTATAACAAATCAATGCAATTCTGTTCTCAACCACTCTTCCTTCTCCAGGGGTTCAGAGAATGGTTTATAATTCCCTCTGCGGTAGGCTGAATATGATTACCAAAGATATACAGGTACTAGTTCCTGGAACCAATGACTGTTCCCTTGTACAGCAAAAGGGACTTGGTAGATAAGATTTTGTTAAGGATCTGAGATGGGGAGATTATCTTGGATTATCTGGATGTACCCAAATGCAATCACCAAGGTCCTTATAAGATGGAGGCAGAAAATAGAGATTTTGCCATAGAGAAGAGAGAAAGTGATATGGTAACTTCACCTGATAGAGATTTGAAGATGTTGAACTGCTGGCTTTGAAGATAGAAGGAGCCAGGAGCCAAGAAATGCAAAAAATACAGTTATGGGTTAGAGGTGAGGTGTCCCCCAAAAGCTCATGTGTGAGACAATCAAGAACATTCACAGGGGACATGATGCGATGATGAGAGTTGGAACCTAATCAATGGATTGATGCTCTGATATGGATTAACTGAGTGGTAACTGGAGGCAGGTAGAGGAAGTAGGTCACTTGGGGTTCACATTTTGTCCCTGTGGAATGGAGCTTTCTGGTGTCATGTCTTGAGCTCCTTTCCTCTGCTACACCTTTCCACCATGATGTTCTGCCTCACCTGGGCCCAGAGCTATGGAATTGACTGACCATGGACTAAACCTCTGAAACCATGAGCCGAAACCAGTTTTTCCTCCTCTAATTGTTCTTGTGAGGTCTTTAGGTCACAGTGACACAAAGCTAACTAAAGCATGTAGCTTCAGAAGCTAGAAAAGACAACCAAAAAGGATTCTCTGTCTGTGCGGCTTCTGGAGGGATCATGGTCCTGCCGATACCTGATTTGGCTCCTGGGGAAACTTATTTCAGTCTTCTGACTTCCAGACCTGTAAGAAGGTAAATGTGTATGGTTTTAAGCTACCACGTTTCTGATAATCTGTTACAGCAGCCACAGGAAACTAATATGCCCCTTTTACATTGATAAATAACCCATGAATGTCAAAGAGAATTAGCGGCATGCTTGTAAAATAAGTCTCCTAGCACAGAGAAAATTAATAAAACGTGTTGCACTGTCAGCCATGTGTAGAGACGGGTATGGAGTAGAGAGAGGGAGGGGAAATGGAAAGGGAGTTGGTGAAAGAGAATATGGAAGATGTTGCCACATGGGGACTTGCTGTCCCTCATGCATAGTCACCCACAGACGTGCACAGAAGAAATGCAAAACTTCATGGAAGGCTGATGAGCAAGGGCTCAGGAGGCATGCTAAAACCTGCCTCTCCACTGGCAGCAGCGCAGGAAAGGCCAAGGCAGGGGGCTCGGGGAAGCAGAGGGCTTCGTACCTGGAATCCTGGGGGAATAGTCCTGTGCAGGGTACGTTGGTCCCCGTGGAGAGTGTAACGATCCTGGTCCTTCTTGCAGCTCCTGACAGCACTCTTTCTTGTAAAATATTTCTGTGAGGCTCTGGTTTTGCTTCTCAGGTTCTGCTCATCAGGGACTCTGGTTTCACCAGGCTCTAAGGTGATTTTAGATCAGGTCCTAGGGTTCTTTACTTGCAACCTGAAAAAAAAAAAAAGCTTCAACAGGTTTTTAGGGACAGGAAGTTGCTGTTTTAGAACTTGCTTTGAAAGGTTTCTTCCTGACTTTTCATGTCTACTCTTCACTGAAGCAGGAAAAATTCTCAGATGTCCCCCATGTGTCAGGGTCCCTGATTGTATTCCCCTCCTCTTGCAGATGTGACCTGGGACTTGCTTGTGTCCTGCTATGGTTAAGATCTGGAATGTCCTGCAGAGACTCACATGTTGAAGGCTTGGTCCCCTGTGGAGAGCACTATAGGGAGCTGGTGGAGACCTTGGTTACTGGGGTATTGACCTTACAGGATTTATCTGATCCCCAGTCCCTTTTCTCTCTCTCTCTCTCTGCTTCCTGGCCACCATGAGTAGCTCTGTACAACCATGTCCTCCCCACTACGATGTTCTGTCTCACCAAAGGCTCAAAGTAATGGGGCCAAGTGGCATGGCATGAAACCTCTGAAACTATCAGCTAAAATAAATCTTTCTTCCTCTACATTGTTTTTCTCAGGTATTTTGTCACAGTGACAGAAAGTTGACTAATAACCCAATAGAAGATGTCAAGGGTGATGGTACATCACACTCATGATGACACTGGATTTTATAAGACTCAGTCTTGGCATCCTAGAAAGACATTCTTGCCAGCCCCAAAGAAGCAAATAGTCATGTCGTGAGCCATCTGTGGAGAAGGCCATGGGGTATGGAATTTTAAGATATCTCAGGACTGAGGGTGGTTTCCAGCTTATAGCCAGTGAGAAACCATGGCCTGTAGGCATGCAGCCATTAGAAAATGAATTCCTTCTACAAACCAAATGAGCTAGGGATCAGACTCTTCTCCAGTCAACCTCCTATACAAGAACAGCTCTTCTGACACCAGATTGCAGCCTGTGAGACCCTGAGCTAAGACCCAGTTAAGCTGTGTCTGACCCATAGACACTGGGAGATAATAAGTGCGTGTCCTTTTGAGCTGCTAAGTGTATGGTAATGTGCTACACAACAGCATAAAATGAATATAATCATGGCCAATTAAATAGATCTAGAAGTAGGTGGAGTAGGTGACCAACTGAGAGTGAGGTTTTGGGCACATCAAGTATGTTACTTTCATAAAAAGTTCTTGCTATGCAAAGTATCTACAATGCCCATCTTAGTGACTGTAATTGAATTGTTGAAGATCTATTTAAAATAAAAAATATTGCCCCAAGGATATGCAAAACATGGATGACTATTAGTTTTAAACCTAGATTAGTTCAAGGGCATCACATAATGTTTCAGTCTATGTTGGATTCCATCCACAACTGTGTATACCATACAGTCTAGGTGCACAGGGGGTTATGACATATAGGTTTGTGAACACCCTATGATGCTCACACAATGATGAAATTGCTGAATAATACATTTATTATTATACATTTCTCAGAACACGTGACCATTGTTAAGCAACACATGACTGTAAGTCTTACTTGAGCATCACATCAACCCGGGAGGATAGATATTTTGACTATTCCCAATTTGCAAATAAAGAGACAGTGATAAAGAGACTACATGTAGCTCAAAGTCACACTGCTAGTAGGTGGTGATGTCTGGGAGGAACCATACATAGGGATCTTTGAATAGACAGGAGATTGATTAATGACCATGGGTAAGTCAGAAATGGGCGGGGGTCTTGAAGAAACAAGATTTTCCACAGAAGAGTGGGATCCCAGGCAGCTCCACACAAAAGCAAATTAGAGGCTGCTTATGATAAAGATGGCGACTGGGCTTATTGTAAGACATATAGGAAGGACTTGGCTGTAGGTGACTCTGAGACTGTGTCCAAGGTCAGTGAGAAAGACTGCTTTGATTTATTATATGTTCACCATGGGTTCAGGAGAGAGGGAGTGAAGACACACATGCTCTTTGATTTGTCATCTTTTTAAAAAAATGTTTAAATTTTTTTTTGCAGTTGTAGATGGACAGAATGCCTTTATTTTATTTGTTTATGTTTATGTGGTGCTGAGGATTTAACCCAGCACCTCACGCATGCTAGGCAAGCGCTCTGCCACTGAGCTGCAGACCCAGCCCTGATTTGCCATCTTTGACTTAGGGCCTTACATGGGAAAGAGCCTCTCTAGATCATTCTTAAGTGATAACATAAAAGCATCCTCCCAGTCTGACACAAAAATTCAGACCATTCGGTAGTCACAGGTGAACACATTTTTCTCTCTTTTTTTATTCATATAAGTTGGTGTGAATGAATCAATAAAATTGCATGTATTTAAATGCATATATTGTAGCCATTTTAAAGAGGGTAGAATAGACAAAAATTGGAATATCTTCTTGGCTTGCAGTGATTCTCTTTGGTGACTATATTTGAGCCTCTGTTTTGGAAATAGACCCTACCAGCAACCTTGGGGGTGAACAACATCCCACCGGGGCCAAGCATAACTCTCCTTCCCCTCTACCCAGTCATCCCTGGGAGGAAGAGCACACGAGGGGGAGTTGGCCACACAGAGTCCACCTTTTAGGTGTTTTCAAACTGGAGCTGGGAGAGGGAAGACTCTTGTTTGATTTCTGAGTTTGGAAGAGGTCATTCAGAGCTGCCAGTCACCAAGTCCCGCATTGTGTGCAGCAGGGGGCCACATCATAGGGACATCCAGGAGCTCTAGGAGAGTTGAGAAATGGTGTGTCAGATGGCTTCAGAATCCCTGTTTCTGCTTATCCCTGGTTTCATCTGCTGTTTGATACACATAGCATCTGTGTTCTGTGACCTAATATCTTCTGCCCTCTTTTCCAGCTTTCATATGGTATAACTGATACATAACTAATGCATATTTTGCATGTACAATCTGAGAAATTTATATTCATTGAGTCACAACCAAGATAACAAGTGTGTTTGAAACACACCAATGTTTCCTCAAGCACCTTTGTCACCTTTTCTTGTCCCTCAACCCAGGGACAAATTAGGCCACCACTTATTTGCTTTTTGTCATTGTCAAATAGTTTTTATTGTATATAAATAAAATCACACAATATTACTCTTTTTTTTGGGGGGGATCTGACTTCTTTCAGTCACTGTAATAAATCTGAGATTCATTCATGTTGTACCATGCATCAATAGTTTATTATTTTTTTCTTGCTGAGAAAGTATTCCATTGTTTATCCACTCATCTGTTGTTGGATATTTATTTTTTCCAGTTTTTTTTTTTCAACTGTAACTCCAGATAGGAAATAGAGAGTTTTTAACTCTCTTCTCTGGGTTCCATGAAGGTTTCCTTTGCCCTTCTGTGTGAGCCTCTTAAATTCTTGCATTATTTTTTTTCTTGTTCTTGACTATTATGAACAATGAGGTCATGACTATCTGGGCACGAGTCTTTGCAGAACGTAGGCTTTCATTTCTCCCAGGTAGATACCTAGAGGTGGAAGGCTGGTTGTGTGCAGGTGTATGCTGAACTGTTTAAGGGACTCCCAGCTTCCTTCCTTCCCTCAGCGCTGGCTGTGCCACTAATGAGGGCTCTAGTTGCTCCATGTCCTTGCCAACATGATATGAGCCCCCTTTTCATCCCCAGTTTTTGATCCAGGTTAGTTCTAGTCGAGTTTCTGTCACTTACAACCAAAGAACCCTGACTAATATACTCTGTTTTGGAGAACTTTATCTGGAGGATTTGTGAACATGTGTATTGAAAAATGCTCACTTAGAACAAACAACATCCAGGACAATCTGTGCCCAAACTTAAACCATGCACATGATTTAATTCCATCAGCTCAGGACCAGGTATGGCTGAATGATATTCACCCCTTGCACTGGGAGAAATGGCCATCGGTAAGTACCGTTATTATTGTTCTGATTACCTGACTTGTCCTTTCAGCTAGTAAATGGGATTCAGAGACTGAAAAGGAATAATGGTTGATGTGATTAATTTAAGCAGTGTGGTTTTAAGAAAAATTCCATAATGAATTAATAAGAATTTAATAATAAGCTTATGATTGTTGCCAATGTGCCTCTGAGGGGGAGAAATGCTCTGACAATGGCAGAATATTTGAACGACGCAATGCAAAAGGACAAAAGTGGCAGCTTGCCATGGCTCGTCTGGGGCCTTGCCAAGTCTAGGGCCACCTCTGGCTGGAGAGAAGGTGATGGATGACAGCAGAGTGACTGAGAGGGATGCCTTTCCCCCCGGGGCAGCTTTCTGACTTCCTGATACGGCCACCAACCAGCTTGTAACCATGGGCACGTTATTTCACTCGCTCTGTGCCTCAGTTTGCTTATCTGCAAAGTGGAGATACTGAAACTTTCTGCCTTGTGTTCCTGGGAAGACAAATGGAGTCAGCACATACGCAGTACTTAGAACACTTTGTACAGAGTAGATGTTGTTATTACCATGCTGTTTTTCTGTTGGTGATGGACAGCGTTTCCTCCCTGCATTCCTAGTAGAGAAAACCCGTTTTTCATGTTACCTCTCTTAGATGACTCAGGCACTTTGCTTTAAATGATCTTGTTTCCTCCATGATTCACCCTTATTCCTGTTTTGCCTGTGAGAACCCTGGAGCTCAGCAAGACTAGCAGTGACAGGTGGGCAGCAGTGCAGCCCTGAACTGGAGACCCCCACACAGATGCTCATTCTACTACTGCAAGTGGTTCTCCCGAGGAGAGGTGACACGCCCTAGAGCAAGAGATCAGTGCCAGGGAGAAGAGAGGACATTGCTTTCTGCCCCAGACCCCGCTGGCACCCCAGGTGCCGAGCTCTGCTCTAGATGTGGGAGGGAAGTGTTTCTTCTGCAGGCTCTGGTTACTCCCTTAAGGCTCCATGTCTGAATTCTTCAGGGCTTTAGTCACACACAGCGCCGCCAAAGCTGTAAAGGAACCTGGCCAGGCAAAAGGATCGGAGACTGGAGGCTTTTGGCAGAGAAGATCTTGGATGCTTTCCCGTCTTGGGAACACAATCCTCACTCAGTATGGGGGCGTATGACCCCATTGTGTCCCAGGATGCTGCACCTCACTTTTGCAACAAACCCCTAGGATTTGGGATAAGAACTGGGGGCAGCTGCCTCTCTGTGACGTCTTCTCCTGAAGCTTAATGGGCATGGTCAGCCTCACCGTCCCCCATGTAGTGATTCAGGGCAACCAGAGGGAGTGGAAAAGGCATTAAGCACACCTGTCTCGTGAGCACTGGGAGTGAGATCTCCGAGAAAACGATGAGAAGGAAAGAAACACATGAAGTGAATTGTTGAGAGGGGGGCGGGGAAAATCCCAAGTGAAAAAGAAGAAAAACTGTGCCTTGCTAAAAAGATTCAAAGTAAATGGCACGTATTAGGAACAAGACAGCCATGAAGGGTAAACTTGAAGAGAGAGACCAGCGGTGGATGCAGGGGAGATGGATGACGGGCGGTGCAGGCGGCCGGGTGGGAAATATGATAAACTCTTAAGTGCAAGCGAGAGAGATTTGAGTAACGAGAGCCTCAGATAAGACAAATACAAGGAATAAAACCAATTTTAGAGCGAGACTGATGGGCCGAACGGAATCTACAGCCTGCGGAAGCGCAGAGGGGAATCTGAGGCATGAAGGAGACAAATCAAAAGAGAAAGAAAAGGTCTCGGTTGCTATGGCTGTCAAATGGCTCTGACAAGGGAGGGGGCGATGGACAATGGGGGCTGAGGCTGATGGACAAATCCCCCAGCCCCAGTCACATAGCATTAGAGGGATCTGCGCTGTGGTCCGTGACCACAGCCACCCTGGGGCGCATCCGAGGTCCATTCGGAACCAGTGCTGTTGGTCCTCTTCTGTTTGGGATTAGCTCTGGGGTGGAAACTGCAGAAAGTGGCTGTAAACTCTCAGAAGTCAGGCATTTCCAGCCTGGCAACCCCCACAGGGAAGTCTCTCGATGCGAGCATCAAGTCCACGGTGCTTTACTTCCAAGGGTCTTTCATTTGGTTTTTAAGTTGATTTTTTCAGTTTTGCCCCAAACTGTCACCTAACAGAAGAAAAGAGCTTGGTCGGTTGGTGGAAAGACGCAGGTCTTGGATACCAACGGCTGGGTTAAAAATCTCAGCTCCAGCACTTCCTGAAATTCAGCTTTCTCACCGTGGGTGGAGATGGTCAGAGGTGGCTGTGGGGGCCAAAGGAGATGAGCTGAGTAACATCCGCAGATGGTGCAAGACTGCTAGATGCTGGGATATGGGACAAGACAGTGCAGCTCCATGAGTTTAGGGGCTGCGGAGGGGCAGCTATGCTAACATTGGCTTTAATAAACTATGGAGAGCTGGGTGCAGTGGTACACACCTGTAATCCTGGTGACTTGGGAGGCTGAGGCTGAAGAATCCCAAGTTTGAGGTCAACCTGGGCAACTTAGTGAGAGCCTGTTTCAGAAGAAAACATAGAAGGACTCAGTATGTAGTTCAGTGGTCGAGTCTCTGGGTTCAATACCCAGGACCACGGGGGTCGGGGTGGAGAGTATGAAGACTATCTGTGGACTCCTACTGAGGCCTGGAAATAGGCTGGAGGAGATGGTCTGTGCTTGACTGTACCTGGGTGTGGTCAAGGTCGTGGAGAAGCTTCACTGTTAAGGAGCTGGACCCTTCAGGCCCAGGGCACATTCTAGGGAAAGGAATGCAAGGGTGAAATAGTACAGAAAGCTTGCTAATCCACCTTGGTTTCTAAAAATCCTTTTCACAGAAGGTGAGTCCTTAGGAAAAAGAGGACTCTGGTTTAAATGAGCTTTAGCAATTGTAGGTTAAACAAAAATACAGTTTTGTGATTGGAGGACTTATAAGAGTTTTATATCTGCTTATAGGTACAGTGAATCTCCAAGAGGGACAATGTCAGGTAGAGTACTCGCCAGGCTGCCGGAGCACAGACTCCTTTTGGGGATGATCTTGCAGGTCTAGTATTCTTCCCCAACCCTATCCCCGAAATAATGAGAAATAAGTTTTAAAAGTTTATGAAATGCTGACCTCAATAGTGAGGAATGCAATTGAGATGACTGTGAGTGAATTATTTGTTTACCTGAAAAGCAATATTATAATAACAACAGAAATCTAAGACAAAAAGTGTCACCACCTTTGAGTAGCATTACACATATTAAATTATTCCTCTCAGTTTAAGGAATGTAAGCAGCCCTGCATTTCACTGCCTCATGAGATGGATGTGGCAGGGAACCCAACAGAAGTCACCAACAAGTGTTCCTGACTTTTGTTTTTGAGAGAGTTTAACCCTCAGTGGAATTTAGAGGTCTAAGGCAGAGAGGAAATTCATAGATGTAGAGAAAGTGTCTTAGCTATGCAAAGACAAAGGATTCGCACACTAGGGAATCCTCTGGATGCTGATGGGAAGAAGAGGCAAGTCTACATCCTGCTAGGCTGCTGGCAGGTGCCACGACCCTCTGCAAATATGTCTAGCTAGCATCTCAGTAGAGAGAATGTCTTAGCTATCTATTGCCGCATAACAAATTACTGCAAACTTATCAACTGTAGATAGCAAACCTTCAGCACATCTTGTGAGTAAACCAGGAGGTCTCAGTCACAAAAAGAGTAGCACCAGAGGACATGCATAAATTGTGTGAGATATGATGGCTACTGGGCTTCGTTTTTAATGTGTCCAGTAAATATTTGAGTGAATGGAAGAATAAATGAATGATTAAGTTTATTACATTTGATGCAAAATCAGACTACAAATGAGCAGCATAGATTAAGTAATCAGCTTCTATGGGCTGGGAATCTGCACATGGCTTAGCCAGTTCCCCTGGCTCTGGGTGTCTCACAGGCTACAATGGGAGTGTTCAGCCAGGGCTGACATCATCTCAAGGGTTGAGCGGGGAGGTATTTGCTGCTAGCTCACTCGTGTGGGTGCCAGCAGGTTGAGATCCGTGTAGTTGGTAGGACTGAGGGCTGAGTTCTTTGCTGGATGTTGGCCAGGAGCATCCCTGGATTTCTTTCTGGATGGATCAATCCCTAGGGAAGCTCACAGCATGGCAGCAGGCTTTATCAGAGCTCAAGGCCAAATCAGAGAGCGTGCTAGTGAGACAAGTCTCAGGCCTTTGTAACCTAATCTTGGATTTGACAGTCCACTGTCACTTTTTCTATTTTTTAATTCATTGAGAGCAGGTCATGAAGTCCAATCCATCCTGGTGGGAAGAAGTGTACGTTAGGCATGAATACCAGGAAGTGGACACCACTGGAAGCCATCTGTCTACCACAGAGGACTACCGCCATTCTTACAAAACAGTTCTGTGTAAACCTTCCTTGGAACTGAAGTTAATCTAGGGTCCAGGACAGTGGGGATCAGACTGGAAGTCTGTGTGGACAGTTGGCCAGTAACAGAGG